TCCATCCATCCATCCATCCATCCATCCTTCCCTGCAGCCCATCCATCCATCCATCCATCCATCCATCCATCCATCCATCCATCCATCCATCCATCCATCCATCCATCCATCCATCCATCCCTGCAGCCCATCCATCCATCCATCCATCCATCCATCCATCCATCCATCCATCCCTGCAGCCCACCTCTCCCTGCAGCCCATCCATCCATCCATCCATCCATCCATCCATCCATCCATCCATCCCTGCAGCCTATCCCTCCCTGCAGCCCATCCATCCATCCCTGCAGCCCATCCAGTCACTTGTAGCCACTGAGGGACACCAAGCTCAGGGTCAGGAGCTCCCTCTGTCCATGAGAAGGATGCTCCAGCAAAGCTGCCTGCAGTGTTCTGCACTGCAGTGAGCCTGAGACATGAAGGTTGACAGAATATTTGGGGGTTTCAAGTAACAGTTCTTTGTGTAATGCCCATGACACCAGCTGTAGACCTGCAGGTCAATGTGGACTTTGGAGCTGTGAAACCTGCACTCAGCACACCCTGTCCCAGCAGTGTGGGGCTGCCTGGGCCAGGACAGCAGCAACCACTCTTACAGCAGCTTGACAGGTTGAGTTTAGTTTAATTTCTTTTCTCCTTGGTTTTTGGGGTTTTGTTAGTACTTCATCAGGAGGTCTTCTAGAACCCCTTAATTTTGTTCCTATTTAAACCAAAGAGAATGAAGATTGTGGCGTGGGATCACTGACTGCCAATAGCATCTTCCAAACCTGAGTTTTACCTCTCTTCCAGAAGCCTTTCTTCTTTTTCTTTTTTTAACCTGTTCATCTGTCAGGGACCATGTGCTCCTTGGAGGAGCAGAAGCATTGGATACTCTTGCACTTTAAGTAACTTGTTCCTGATGCTTTGTTTCCAGTCAGTAAGAAAGGAATGGTGTTCCAGCACATACTTGAAGATGACTTAACTAGCAGCCCTTAGAATATTAATTTCTCTTTGCCAGTGATGTTTTTAATGTGTTTAGAATAGTTGTGCCTGTGTTGCATTTCCTGAACCTCTGCTTTGTGCAGAAGTTTTGTATCTCCTTAACTATGCATATAAGTAATTTTATTTTACTATTTCTGTAGATTTCGTTCATGATGTTGTTTAATCATATTTTTTTTCCCTTCTCTTTCTTTTTTTAATCTGTCCATGGAAGGTTTGGCAGGAAGAATGTGCTGTTTGCAACTCTGGCAATGCAGACTGGCTTCAGTTTCATACAGGTCTTCTCTACCAGCTGGGAGATGTTTTCAGTGTTGTTTGTGCTGGTTGGCATGGGACAGATATCTAACTACGTGGCAGCATTTGTTCTTGGTATGAAAGTCCTGCTGGTCACTGCATGTGTCCTTTCATCATGTGCTTTTCCTGCTCCTTTTCAGTACTGACTTAGGGTTGATTTGTTTTGCCAAGCAACACCGTTAAGAGTGTGGCCTCACCATGCATGAATAACTTCTCTTCTCCTTGGAAGCTTTCAGCTGATAGAGGTGCAATTTGAATTATTTCTGTGGTTTGCTATCCTAAAAGAGGCAAAACCCCAGAAACTATTTGAAATAAAGTCCATCTTCTAGTGGGAGAGATAATACATGTGAGACATGATTTCTTGGGGATTGGAGCTAGATGATCTTTAAGGTCCCTTCCAACCCAAACCATTCCATGATTCTATGATTTTTCTTGGATTTCTGATGTCCATTTCGAGCCTAAATACCTGTTTCATTTAAAAGTTGCAAAAGAACCAAGATAGGTAGAGTAATTTTTATAAAGTATTCTTTAAACAGCCTATAGTAAAAATTTAAATGTTGTCATGACTTCTGCTTTGTATACTTTCAAGCTAACTAAGACCATATTTAATTATGGGGATGTGAATTACCTCATGAATCCGAGATTAAAAAAAAAAAAAAAAACATGTACAGTGACCTCACTGTCCAAAGTACCAAATGGTGGCAAGAAATTATTTCTTTGCCAAGGAAGGTCAGTTCAGGGGTGAAAGCAGTGCTTAGATAACCTTACTGCACATAGCCTGCTGCAACTGCTGGCATCTTCTTTGACTTCCATGGAAACAAGAAAGATTGTATTTTATTTCTCTGTCTCTTGATTTGCAGGTGCCAAAACATTTCAGAGGAGGGCACTGGACCTCTGTTCATGCATTTAATTCCCCTGGCAGTAGCGTGGTCTTTGTGACCAACATGAATTCCATATGTCTATCCCAAAAGACAGTGAGGATTTTGGCTTTTATATAGTCTAAATAGTCTTTTAGAAGGTAATACAGGTTGGGAACTTACTTGAGGCACCTTTGAATTATTCTTTAAAGAAGCTGGTCACTCTTCAAAAGCTGGAGAGGATTCTGGACATCAAGCTACATTTAACTGTTGAAAATGTCAGGTGATTTAAGCTCCTCAGGTAAAATGTGAGATTCTAAAAAGATAAAATTACAGAAATGTGAGCTACATATTGAGCTACAGAAACACTGTGTGGCCCAGTTCTCATTCTTTTACACATATAATTACCTCCATTGGTGCAGGATCACAGCATGAAGCAACTCTGTGGTGCCTCCAGCTAGACGACAAAGTGCTGCATCCTGCAACTCTGCAGTGCAGTGTGCTTCAAAGCCAATTGCTAGGAGTATTTTTATTAAGTGACTTGGTTGCTATTAAGTGAAAATCTAATAATCCCTCTGCTGTTTTGAACAGGCACAGAAATCCTTGGCAAGTCAGTCAGAGTGCTGTTCTGCACGCTGGGTGTGTGCATTTTTTATGCCTTTGGTTACATGCTGCTGCCCCTGTTCGCGTTCTTCCTCCGAGACTGGCGGATGCTGCTGCTGGCGCTCACCCTGCCCGGCCTGCTCTGCATCCCACTCTGGTGGTGAGTACAACTCACAAGGCTTTAGTCTTTAGAAGGTCTTGTCTGCAGGTTTTTAAGATGATGAAGCTAATGAAATTTAGGAATGGGTAGGTGAAGGATAGATGTTGTGTCCTTTACTCTCCCAGCTGTTTAGCTGTCGGTCCGTGGTGTTGTATGTGATCTGACTGATGCCTGAAAAACCTGCTCTTCATGTTCTGTAGGCTTCTGTAAAACTGAGTGTTGCACATGCAAAGAAAGCAAAAAAAGGTCAATGAAACTCATACTTCTGCACCAACTGAAATCCACAGGCTTTAAGTATAGGTGTGAACTAAGGGCAGAAGGAAAAACCAGATGTTCTGGGCATTGGTAGGGTGACACAGATATGACAAACTACAAAACAGTACTTGCACAGCTGTGGCACTTCTGTGTTTTTTGTGTAGTTGTTAAAATACTACGTATGAGTGGCATGTAAAGCTGAAATATTCCACGTGGTGGTGGTGTTGCTTCACTTACAGTAGCAGCTGTGTTTGTGCTTCCATCTCAGTTCTAGTGCAATCCAATGACTGGGGAATTCTGCTCTCTGATTTGCCTTTTTATCACAGAATTTACAGTTACTAATTTTATATGTGTTGGCATCTAAGGATATGTTTCTTAACCTACAGCATGCTGCTTGTGTGTTCACATTTCTGAATTTCTTAAAATTAATCCCATACTTGGAATGTTTGGATTGCTCTTTTTTCTGAGTCACTGTTAATTCCTTCAGCACTTCTGAAATCCATAAGGGCATATTAGTCTGGTCTTGTTCCTTACACTAGTCAGATCTTGTAAATCTCATTTCTGTTGTCACTGCACTAATTCCTGCAAGATGTGGCATGTTTAGAGATCTTCCTGCCTGGAACAATGTGTTGGTCCCTTCAGCAGCTCTTTCTGTGGAAATGCAGGCTTATTATTGTGAACCTTCTCTGCAGGATCATTCCAGAGTCTCCACGGTGGTTGATCTCCATGGGGAGGTTTCAGGAGGCAGAAGACATCATCCGAAAAGCTGCAAAAACCAATGGCATTACAGCCCCTGATGTAATATTTGACCCTAGTGAGGTAAGTCTTGTTTAGCAGTCCAGTTGTTTGCTGGACTTTACATAAAGCAATTAATTCCATACAGATGAATGGAGTTATGCCTGCACTGCATTCTGTGCTTCTCAAGTGGGTGAAAGATCATTGTTTTATGCCAAAAAGCACAATACCCTTTCCCTTCATTGCAAAGCCTTTGTGGTCCCATTCCCACAGGAATGCCAACGTGCATTCTAATGCAAACATCTTTTTCATCCAGTTTACAGCTGCCCTTTTTCCTTTTTAGCTTTTTCAGAGGAGGATAATGAATTTGAGGTGCCTATTGCTTAGTGATCTAAATATTTGCACCAAACAGATTCTGTGTTAATTCAGTCTGTAATATAACTCTGTATGACACAGGGCTAATCCTGACCAGTGACATTGGAAAGATTGTTATTGTAGTTCATACTCAACTTCTGTCACAGAATTTACAGTTAGTGATTTTATATGTGTTAGCCTCTAAAGAAATGTTTCTTAACCTTTACAGCATGCTGCTTGTGTGTTCACATTTCTGAATTTCTTAAATTAAACCCATACTTGGAATGTTTGGATTGCCCTTTTTTCTGAGTCACTGCTAATTCCTTCAGCACTTCTGAAATCCATAAGGGCATATTAGGATTCTAATCCACGTTAGAGAAAGCAAAATTTGAGCCCCTTTCAGATGAAGTAGTGACAGATATCTTTCCCATCTCTTTCTTCCTACATGCTCCTGTTTTCTCTGGAAATCTTCCCTTTGTCTAAGCTGAAGGGTACCTTTAAGGTGCAGAAGCAGTTCCATAGACATTCAAACATGACCTCAGAAAGTCAAGACAGACAAACTGTTTGTATATTCCAGGAGAATGGGCACCTCGACAGAATCTGTCTGGGCAGTTGCAGGCTGACAATTGACAGTCCTTTAAGTGAAAATACATATAATGTATATAATGAGTATAATATACTTGTTTGCTTTTGAAACAGCTTCCCTTGTGTTGAAGTTAGCAGAGTACAGACAAAGCTGTTTGTGCAGATTTATTAGGAGATAGTAGGGCAAACATCCTGGCCTTACTGGAACAGAAGAAGAATGCCAAGAAAACACACTCCTTCTGATACCTTTTCCTCTGGATCTTTGTTAGAATACATATTTTCCTTTTTCTTCTTCTTCTTTCTCATGCCGTGGCCATGAGAACTCATCTATTGCCAGCACTGCAGCAGGAGAATAGAAAATAAACTCTGGCTCCAACATCTGCCCTAGATCACTGTTTCTGGAATCTTCTCTCTTGTTCTTGGAAAGAAACACTGATGGGTTTTCTGTCTCTGAATGGGGTTGAATAGTGAAAGAGCAGAAGGCAGGGGCAAAAATAGGGATTTTATTCCAGGAAATGCTGGACAAGTAGAAATGCTGATGTTGCAGCAGGGTGGGCTGGAGAATGTGGTGTGCATTTAGAGACATTAGCACATCAGCTTTCAAAAACATACTAACTTTCTGACCATCAGAGGAAAATGAGCTTGATGAACATGGAGAATTCCTGTCCATCTCTTTCCTTTCTAAGGTAAAAGTAACATTGTAGCCAAAAGATCAGTGCAGAACTCCTCTGCATCAGTGGTGTGTTTATGCTTTCTTATGTCTGCTATCTGAGAGCTGGAAAGCAGAAGGCTTACAGCCTCTTGAGGGTTTAGGAAGCATGTTTATGCTGCAGAGAGGTTCTCAGAAATCTGGCTGGCCCTTTGCCTTCCTCATTTGGAATGTGTGTTTGGGATGGAGGAGCCACCCGAGCTTATGACTGGAGAGTCCCTCGAGCCTGTGCAGCTGGAGAGCAGCAACTGCAGAATTTTGACTCCAGAGATTTCAAGCCAGTTGAGGTCCAGCAGGTGATGAATCACAAACCAGCAGTGGAGCACAAATAGGGCCTGGTTGGTTAAGAAAGGATAGAAATGTTTAGATTATAAGTTTAATCATTTTGGCTTCCCTGCCCTTCTCTCATAGCTTCTTGTTTGAGCCTGTCCTGGTAAAGATTATGTTGTCTGCTTATCCAGCTCTTAAAAGGCAAGGACCCTTTTTCTCATCAACAGACTAATTGATTGCATATTTCTCTTCCTGGTTTTGTTTTATGGTTTGCTTGTTTCTTCTTTTTTTTTTTTCCTTGTTTCTTGGCAACAAGTAGTGGCATGTGGAAAGATCATGTGATTTATGAGAAAGGGCTATGAGCTGTGAAGTGACTACAGTTTGTGTGATGTAAGTTTGGCTTCAGGCAGAGTGAAAGCTAACAAAGGTGAAGGACAGTTTGGCTTTTGTAGAAAATGGATTGATGAAAGCAAATACACAGAAAGTTGGTGTGTACCAGACTGCTATTTCATTATCCAGATCTTCAGAACCAACTGTCACTTGGAAAGAATTTTCATGTTACTGCAGAGGTTTGAGAAATTCAAAGTTGCTTTATCAGAGCTGATAGTTTTAATCAATGGATTTTGTCCTCTTAAATCACCTTTTCTATATTTTGAAAAATCTTTTTCATGGTCCCCCTCTTTAGGAGTCTAAATAAAGCCCTAATAAAAAAAAATTCTTTTTTACCGTCTTACCAAGCACAGAACTTGTTCTCATACTTTGTGGATGAATACCCTTGCATTGTTTACATGGAAGTGATTTTATGTTGAGAGGCTGGAAAGTTTAATGGGGAAAGGAGAAGATTGTTGTCTTTTTGTTTACATTCTTAGAAGATAATCTCAAAAACAGACTAGATAATGATGGGCACTCTTCAGCTCATTAGCCAGTTTGTCTCAGTTTAAATACATTACTCTTAGGTCCAGCTTGAGAAGTCATTGGCTAACTCTGCCCGGCTACAGTTTATTGCAGCAAATCTTGTTAATTGTTGCTGTGTCTGCAATGGACAGTTTATCACTTTGTTTTCCTCATATTTGAAGACTATGCTGTGTCTTTCCAGATGTCCTTGGTCTTCTGGCCCTTAGGCTAAAGAAACCCTCTACTTTTTTTCAAATGTCTCACCATCCTTGTTACTCTCTTCTAGTCTGAGTGCAGTTGATTCTCCAGGTGCAGTGCTCAAAACTGGATGTAAGAACCCTTCCAGTAGTGACATATAAATCATGAATTAATGCTGTTGCTAATTCAAGTAACAAAAAGCAGTTGTTTTGTGAAGCCTCAGACAAAGAAAATCATTACTACAGAATGTGCTGAGCTGGAAGGGACCCACACAGATCATCGAGTCCAACTCCTGGGCCTGCACAAGACACCCCAAGAGTCACACCTGAGAGTGCCTGAGAGCATTGTCCAAGTGCTTCCTGGGCTCTGTCAGCCTTGGTGCTGTGACCATTTCCTGGGGAGCCTGTTCCAGTGCCCAGCCACCCTCTTTCTGATAAACATTCCCTGACTCAGCTTCATGCAGTTTCCTTGAGTCCTGTCACTGGTCACGAGAGTTAAGAGTTTCAGTCTAAATTTTAAGTGACTTTGAATTAGAGAGGAGCTTCTACTTTCACAAGTTTGGCTCTTACATGTGTTTTGTTACAAACCTCTTTCAGTACATCAAAAGACTGAGGTGTAAGTTGGTGGTAGGACTTAGTTTCATAATCATTATTTTTGCAGGAAGTTAAAAGTTCCCATGTTTTGTTGTTTGCTCTTTTACAGCTACAAGATGTGAATTCCCAGAAGCAACAGACATACACCATTTTGGATCTAATGAGAACTCGAAATATCCTAACTATCACAATTATGTCAGTGCTTCTTTGGTAAGCAAGTGTGATTTAGGAGTATGTAACTTTAAATACTAAGATATTCTGAAGAGATACAGACAAAACCAGCTCAAAAATCAATGACTAGCTGGCTAAAACAACAAAATTCTGGTTACAAGGTTCTTCATTTTGGTGGCAGTGTAGAAACACATCTGGGTTGGTGTTCCTTTCTGAACAGTCAGGCTTATCCTGAACTGAGCAAGAATCCAAACAGCTGGCAGTGGATGTGTGGGAATGCTGCCTGATCCTGGGCCTTGGGGAATGCTCTTCTGACTGTAACAAAGTCATTTTAGGGGAATGAGTCATACCCTACCCCCAGTCAGAGAACTTCTGCCCAGGGATCTGAACGTGATGCCTGAATAAGGGGAGACTCTTTCCATTTCTTTTGTATTGGCTCTTAAAGGGATAATGATGCCTTTTAAGTTCTCATCTGAGATTTCCCTATATTTTCCTGATATCTTCTTTGTCTACTTGTCATCTTCAGCTTGGTTCTCATTAGCTGAAGCCATGCTTCATGCTCAATTTGATTAAATGGTGATTTCCTTACCAGAAATCTCAGTAAAGCTGTAAACAGAGAGAGTAACTGAAAACCTGCCAGAGGCTGTACAAGTGAGGTTTAATTAGTGCATGTACCTAATGACCAAACCAAGAAGGTCCCTTAAGTGCTTGGGAGCCAACTAAGTTTATATGCTGTCTTTTTGGACAATGTTCCTGTTCCTTAGTGAGGCACAGCCTCAGAGTTCAGTCCACTGACCTGCCAGCACATACAAGATGATGTGGCATCTTAGGGCAAAGGATGAATTGGCTTATATTTAAGCCAGATTCTCTGGCCCATAACCAAGCACAAGGCCAGGCCATAAACACACTGAGAAGGGAACTTGTGCAAAAAAAAAACAGCTTGAAAAGAAGGGCAATGTTCGTTCCTTGGAGAAATGTCAGTAAGGTGCCTATATAATGTCTTCCTGCTCAAGTCCAGTCACTGACTCCCATGTTTGATTGGAGGTGAGACTGTCCTACTCCTCATCTGCTTGATGTGGGGCAGTAGCTCCTGGGCACAGCCAGCTTTGGGTGTGTGGTTGTAGAAATCAAAGGCAAAACCTGTTGGAACAGCATTTCTGGAAGGATGAAGCAACTGAGAGAAGCACTGACATGACAGTATGTAATCCATTCGAATGGATTCAGTAACCCATACTGAAGGGCTTTTTACCACATCAAAAATCAAGTTTTATGATAAGCAAGAAGAGTCAAGGAGGTACAGTTGACTTGCACACTCTTACCTCCTCTTGCAGAAAAATATTTGGTTAAGCTGGGCAATCTTTTCACTATTCTAATTTATATGTCAGTGACCTAATCTCCTTTAATTTAATTTCCCAATATATAAAGACATAATATCTTGTGCTTCCTCACAGCACATAGTTTTCCAGCCCATGGTACACTGATGGTATATTCCGTGTCATTAATTAAAAGTTCTCACCAAAAAGGGCTATAAAAGAGGATAGTTGCAGAAGCAATATATCAGCTTTACATAGTGCTGAGTGCTTTGTTAATTTTGACTAAGTAACAGGCCCTTAAACTATTCCCTTTGCAGGGTTTGCACCAGGGATGAAGAAGTTTGGCTTCTTGGCACCCTAGGATGTGTAAATACCACTGAAGTTTTTCTACAAAATATATAACTATATTAAGGTTTGCCAATGTAATGAGCTGAGGCAATCTGCTACCAAAAGGGAGTTCCAGCATTACAGTTTGTATATAAAAATAACTCCAAGGAGCACAGGGTGTGAAAAACACTGCAGAACTACTTCTGAGAAGAATGGCTTAGGGCAGGGCACCACAGCAGCAGGAGGTAACTCTCAGCTGTGTCACTTCATGCCTTCCCAGGTACACTAAGCAGCTTTATTTTAAGCAACTTTTAAGAAAACAACATGAAGGCTTTTCCAATATTCAGTGAGGAGGAGGAAGAGCTCATCTTTTTTCAGTGGTGCACTTGGTGCTGTGCAGTGGTTTTGCTCCAGGTTCTGTTACAAGGTAGATACTGGTGGAGATGAAGTGTCCAGTGTTCTGTGCCTCATGTTTGCACCTGGACATGTCCTGATCCACTGCCCATTATTTCCTTATTAACCACGTTATACTTGTTGGTAAAGCTTACCCCTCTCTACCCAGCATTTCCCAAGACAGGACAGAGTTTGTCTCCAAGGCCAGTTGTGTATTTCTCGGGATTACATGGAAGCCAGCTGTCATCTGGCACAAAGTTAAGATGGCAGTGTTCCAGCCACCAGTCTCTGTCCTGATGCACTGACCAGCCCAGGCAGCCAGGCATGCCATTGTCATTTGGAAGCTGCCCAGCCAGCTTGGGGCATGGCAGAGAAAATCACGGGCTGCTTGGGCCTGCCAGGATGCCATTCTCCTCCCCTCTGACTTTACACAGAAAGCATGGAGCATAATGACCCAGAAACAATGCTCTCCACCCACAGCTCCCTGGTAAACATAAAGGAAAGCTGCTGTAGGCCTCAGCAGCAGTAAAATTCAGTAGCTCAGACTTTCAGGTTAAGGCTATAAACAATAGTAATGGCAACTATTGCATTACTGCAGTGTGAATGATCATTGCTTTCTTCCCAGGGTAATATATTTTTTTCTTTGAATTCAAGAGCAGTCTGAAAGATCAAAAGCATCTGCATGGTTTAATTGTTGACTTGCTGTTTCTGAAGTCAGCACTTTAGCTGCTTCAGAAACGAACAAGTCTGCCAGATCCTGAATTTACCCTACACAGCCATTTCTGTGCTTGATGGAAATGTGGAAGAGGTTCATGGCAACCTGAGGAAGAAGAGAGATTTGTTTGACCCTGCTATTGTTTCTTTCAGGATGATAATCTCAGTTGGCTATTTTGGACTTTCTCTTGACACACCTAACTTGCATGGAGACGTGTATGTGAACTGCTTCCTGTCAGCAGTGATTGAAGTGCCAGCCTACATCATCTCGTGGCTGCTGCTGCGCAACCTGCCCCGACGGTACTCAATGGCTGCTGCGTTATTCTTGGGAGGCTGTGTTCTTCTCTTCATTCAGCTGGTGCCCTCACGTATGGAATCATTAGTTGATCTCACATATCTATGATAGGTGAGGTGCAGTACCTTGCACGGGGTAGATGTGGAGGAAAAGTGTCCTGAGGGGAC